CCCCCCCCCCCCCCCCAACCTGACACCCTTAACAAGAAGAAAGAATAAAATTCTTCCTAGCCCCATGTAGAACCAGCAAGGTCCAGAAACACGGGATAACCAACATCCTTGAATTTGCACTGCAACTTGGGAGCTGCAAACAACTCCATGCATCACACTTCTTAACTAGAGCCAGAACTTCCCTGTTATTCTACCCCCTTCACAACATACCAGATCTTTTAAATCTTCTTTCATTTCCCCAGTTGCTAAGCAGCAGGAGAATGAAGCAGAGCTTCACATGGTCCTCATTGACTTCCACGTGCTCTAGGCTGCAGAACTTCCTCATGGTCTCTGAACAATGTGTATATGGAAATTGCTTGGGCATCCAACTGTTGCTCCTCTCAGTGCCTAGAGTGTGCTGTTACTTCTAAATCACACCTGACCAATGCTTATCCAACCTCTTCTTCAAAGCCTCGAATGTAGGAGACTCCGTAACTTTCCCAGGCAGTCTGCTCTACTGCATCACTGTTCTAACAGCAAAGAAATTTTCCTGACACCCAATTTACTGCAATTCCAAACAAGCGCTACATCCTGCTCTCTGAAGTGAGGGAGAAAAGGTGAGCTATGGCAGACTTGCAGATATTTGAAGACTGCTATCAGGTCCCCAGATAATCTCCTAAACATACTTAATTTTTTTTCAACTCCTTTGGCTTGCCTGCCAAGTCTTTATCTTTTTTGTTCTTTCACTGGACCTTCTCTAACTTCTCAACAACCTTTCCACACAGTTGCAACCTCAAAGGCACAAAATAAATGGTTAATTGTAACAGGATGTTTTAATTTTTTGCCAGTGGCATAGATGGGAACAGAAAGTAGAAAATTCTATACTGTCTATTTTAACTGCTGTATTCTGCAAAAGGCCGTGGCTAAACAGCACTTTTTCCCCCCATATATTATTAAGGTTTTTAAAAGACTAAGCCACACTGAAGGTTTTCACAACACTTCCAGCTTTCAATGATCTTCAATGGAATTAAAAAAACAAGTTAATTGTATTGCTTATATGCAACTTATTTGCCTCTAAGCAACAGATCTAGCACCAAAAAACCTAAAATACACCACCCCCAACTGTTCATGTGTGAAAATGCTTTCCATGATCACAGCTTCAAAGCTGCTAAACCAATTACCTTTCAACTTAGTTTGTTCCTTATATCTCATCAACAATATAAAATAGCAATCTTGGCAAAAACCGACTCAGTCACTGTCTAATGATACACATTGAAAATTCTGCTCAGAGAACAAAGAAGTCATTCACACACACAGAAGTAAAAGAAATCAGAATTAAAAGTTTTGCTGCAACTTTCCAATACATGAATGTCTAAAGATCAATTAAAATACAACCCAAAATAAATTAGTTCCAGAAAGTTGCAAGCAACTAAGGTAGGTGATCAAGATGGAAACTGCATTTCAACTACATGTTTAAATATTGCTACCACTGTCACAAAAAACAGAAGACAGTTGGTTAGCCATGTTAGCCTGAAGGAAGGGTAGAGGTGCACCTTACAGACTAACAGAATCAGAGCTGTATAAACTTCTATCACCACCAGAAGATTGTACCCTCTAGTTCTAATAAGTGTGCATTTCAGGTAACGTGCTGAAGTTATGAGTAGCATCTGATAAACTTAAATTGTTTTGGAAGACACAGGAAGGTGGCTGGGAGGGGAAGGGGAATGAATACAAGAACTCTGGAAAGTGAGCAGCTCTGAGTTCCTGAACCAAAAATGGTTACATTTCACTGTGCTGCAAGAGAGGCACACAGACAAGACTGAAAGGCAGACTGGAGCACTGCCTGGAGGGGAAGAAAGAGCTCTCTTCTATCATGGGACAGGTTCTACCATGGGCATTGCCATCCTCTTCTTGCAAAAACTGAGACTGGTTTCAGTGGTGGCTCAGGACGTTGTCCCTGGTCTCCTGCTAGTACTTTGATCCACTTTGAAGCAGTGCTTCCTCATCCTAATTAACACCTATGCACCCAATGAAAGGTGGGAGAGGGTGCTTTTTTCCCAGGTTGCTGGCTGACCTCTTGCAGGCCTGTCCTGATGACAATGACCAACTCCATTTGGGGAATAATTTTAACTGCACCCTCCAGGAATGGACCAGAGCCCCATCTACCCTTCATTCTAGAGCGGCAGGCCCACCCTACAGGCAGCAAGCCTGATGCATGATGGAATTTCTATTCTAGCATGAGGCAATATAACCAGGTGTGGGCAAGTACAAATGGTCTTTCCTGGCTCACCTGGATCTGCTCCCCATCAAACACCACCTGTATCTGCTTTGCTGAAGCCAGATCATTCCATCAGAGCTCTTAGATCATAGCCCCGTCTGGTATGAAATAGACTTCCCTGACTTGGCTCACAGGCAACCACCCTACTGGTGCTCAGTGCTAGTTTCCTGCCGGATGCCCACTTCCACAACTGCTTCGCAGACCTGGGCAGTTTCGAGAAGTAACTTTCTCCCCTGGAAGCAGTGGTGGGAAATGGGGCAAGCAAAAATTAAGATTTTCTGCCAGCAATATACATAGCAGACAACCCAAGACTGCCACCGCAGTGTGCAAGGCCTTGAGGAAGACATTGTGGAACTTGAAGGTACCTTGAGGAATGCTGGTAATGACCATGGGCTGTATGAGAGCCTTAAGCTCCAGGAAAAACATGAGAAAACAAGAGGCTGTGGCTTGGGGTACAAGAACCCGAGCCCCCTTCTAAGAACTCACAGAAGCTGATGCCTTATGTTCTTTTTCAACCTAGAGAAAAAGTGGTCAGAATAAAAATCGTTGGCCATTTTATAACCTTTATGCCAAGTGCACATGGACCCAGTCAAGATCTGAGGGCATGCTGTTAGTTTCTACAGGGAGCTGTTTACAACTGAGCCTGCCTGCCTAGAGGCCAACCAAGACCTGCATAAGGTCCTCTTCCAACTCTCCATGTCTGAAACTAACAAGCTCAAAACAGGAGGTATCCTTGGCAGAACTGACCACTGCCATTGATGGCCTCACCATGGAGGAGTCAGGCATTGCAAGATTACCCATTGAACTCTGCAAGACCTTTTGGCCCCTCTTGGCTTGGACGTCCTGGGCATCTTGTAGGAGGGCCTCAAAGTTTGGATCCTACTTGTGAGCTGTTGGCGAGCAGTCATCACACTGCTGTCCAAGGGGGATCTCAGAAACATTAAGAGCTAGTGACTAGTATTGCTCCTGTGTACCAATCACAGAATCCTGGCCAACCAGCTCAAAAGGTCATGGCCATGAACAGGTCCTGAACAGAGCTACTGTGTACCTGCAGAACCATCCAAGAAAACCTGTTTCTAGTGTGTGACTTCTGGCAGCTGCAGAACCCTTCAGTTCAAACATTAGCCTTGTTTCTCTGGATCAAGCAAAAGCCTTTGATTGGGTTCACCTTTGGTTTTATAACCGTTTTCATCTCAATGATCCAGCTTCTGTACCAGGACACCTTTAGCCTCCTGAAGAACAGACAGCATGTGCTCTGTTCCCAGAATACAGGGGCACCTGGTAGGGCTGCCCTTTCTCCAGAATGCTGTGCCCTAACTATTGAGATGCTGTTCTATGAGCCGTGACAGCATCTGACAGGCCTTATCCCCCTACTGCCCACAGCCCCAGTTACTGGACCCCCAAATAAGATGACAGTGTTTAGCAATTACTGAAGACAACGTTTAGCAAGTCCAGTCCCTGGATGACCATCAACAGGCCTACAAGTGCACCTCCTCAGCCTATACCAACTGGGCTAAGTGACATGTTTCTCCTAGACCTTGGGTCAGTGCTTAGCCTCCAGACATGCCCTGGTGCCACAATGGTCTCCAAGTCCAGGGCATCTTCATTTGGCTGCCAGCCTATCTAGCCAAGAACTGGGAAGGCCTTGGTGAGGTGGTTGACTACAGCAGTGGCACAACTACAGCAGTGGTACTGGCACCTACCCAGTCTTTCCTACTACGTGGCTGGCAACAGGTGGAACAGGTGCACCAACACAGACATATGAATGAACCTCCTTAAAAGGCTCCAGAAGGCTGAAACAGGCACCTCTGGCTCCAGCAGGCTCTCCCCTACCTGCCCACCAATGAAGCAGGTCAGGGCCAAAACATGGAAAGTAGGCAGGCTGCCTTCCACATGAAGCCCTTCAATACCTGCTCTTCGCTGGTGGACCCTTTCTCTGTCAACAGCTGGCTTTTGCTTTCCTGCATTAGGTGGGGGAATCTCAACCTTTATCCAGACCTTTTTCTGTTGGACCCCGATCACCTCAACTGGGACACCGTACCACACTTCTACCACAGCGTCACCTGGGCCTGGCAGGCTTAGGGTCCAACTAAGACCACAGAGCAGGCACTTACAATTTACAAAACTGTTGGTCTATAACTTAGCTTTGAAGCAAAGGGTACTGACCCTCAACTCTGCTTGTGGCCCAGTTCCACACTGTCAAGGTAATCCACCTCTTCAACTCGGCTCACTCCACTGGGATCTCAGCCAAAGCCCTGGGTGAACAGCTGGGCCCAGTTTGCTGTGCAGCTTCTGGCTGAAGCGAAGACTACCTTCACTGTGGATGCACTTGTTGACCTGAAAGTCCACCATGTACAACAACCCCAAGCCCTGACAGCAGCTTAGTAGACAGAAAGCAGCTTCCACGCCTACCTGGACAGCCCCTAGCTACAGCTGCTCTTAGCAGCCTCTTTGGCATGCTGAACTTGGGCTTCTCCGAGACTGTGTACATCTTCTCTATTCCACACCAAACAGTTAAGTGAAGCATGATCTGCCTGACCAATTTCCTGCTGGGCCAGGCCAAGATGGCAAGACTGAAAATCCTCAGAAACCAGTTCACAGGAGGTGGCTTTGATAATGCCCTCTAGATCTTCCACTTCTTGGTCCAGGCATGTCACATCTCAATTTGGACACTTCACTTCACAACAAAATGTGGAAGTTTGTCATGCTGAGCCACTGAGGGGCACTCCACATGGTGGAAGATGGACAGCCAGTCTTACATCTGTAACTGCACAATGGGCATGGAGGGGAGGGGGTTTCACTTTCTGGTAATTTAGCATTTCTTGTCACCGACAAGTTTTTTATACTCGACCCCTGGAAAAGCTTAAGGAGTGCATCAGGAGCTCAGTGAACAACTGTTCACTAGGGAACCCCTGGGGAGGAGCAGGACCAATGGATAAAAATTCCTGGAAGGCTGCTTCAGGCTTAATACCAGGAAAAACTCCTTCAGTCAGCATGTCTAGTCTGTGAAACAAACTTCCTCCAGAGGGGGTACAGTCACCTACCCTGGAAGTTTTGAAGAGGAGACTGGACAGTCACCTCGCTGGGGTCACTTGACCTCAGTTGTCTTCCTGCCTAGAGCATAGGGGCTGGACCCAATGATCCGCAAGGTCCCTTCCAGCCCCTAACAGTTTATGAATATATTTGTACCTTTACCTTTTGTTTTTATTATTTTTATAATAAAGGTTTAAAAAAAAAAAAAGTAGTGTGTGGGGGGGGAAATAAGAACATGAATCAAAGTGAAATTATATAAGATACAATGAAGGGCTGCTAAATAAGGGTTTTTCAGTGTCGAAAAAGAATGATTATTTTCAAAGGAACAGGAATAGCAAAATACTGGAGAACTAAATGATTTAGAAAGCTTCTTTCTACATTAAAAAAAAAAACAATAATGCTTTGATCTCACTATAAGTTATAATTGGGGTTTCATTCCTAACTTAAAATTTATTTAGTTTATAAAGAACTTTGCTTATTGAATGAGCAGAGGCAGGCAGAAGCCCTATATTAAAAAGTGGGTGTGGGGGAACGGAGCTTCACGTTAAAAGCAAGAGAGAACTAAGCAGTGTGCAACTGTAAGCTCTTCCATTTATTCTTAATTACCTGGGAAATTGGAGAGCAGATATGTATAGCTAGGGAAGAGTCGCTAGATACATAACAATTTTGAACTAGACTAAGTACATAAAGTACAATTATTTTCATACAGAGAATTTTACTGCATGTCCACTGTGCATCATTATGAAATATAACCCTCAGTTTCCCATTATATTAAGCCAGTCAGTCAACTATGGTAGATTTATTGAAAACAGCAGATTTAGATTTAATTAGAGAAGGCAAACTTTTGAATGCTTCAGATGGGAAGTACAGTCTGATTAAAAAGGATAATTTATTTACACTTAAATTTCTCAGTAGTAAGCTAAATAATACAAAACAGGTAATAAGGTTTTGGTCATATATTAAAAAAAAAAACAACAACAACAAAAAACCCGTTGCTCAAATGTTATATGAATGTTTTATTCACCGCTATTTCTGCCTACATTTTTTTTTTTAAACAAAGTAATGCCTAGGGCAAGTGAATATCAGCCCTTCTGAGGTCATCTACATGAAACAGGGAACAAAAACTAACATAACTTTTATCCTACCAGTTAGCATTAGTAGCTGACAGTGCAGGCAGCATAATTTAATGCCAGATGAGATGCATAGTGGTAACTTCTGTCAAAAATGTATTTCAATTAAAGTTGTTTTGTAGCCCAAGCTCTTGGAAAGCAGTCCTTTTAGCATAATACGCACTTACAGGACCTTAAATCATATATAAAAAATATGTAATTCTCCAGTCCCTTGTATAATAGTATATATGGTTTTAAGGCTAGGAAAGAAAGAAGATACCATTTTCAAAACAGCTTTTATTTCCATCTTCCTGCCCAATCACTTAAGCAACTGAGTTTCATGCTTTAACATTTTCTAAACTGTGGAAAACAATGATAATCAAGAGAAAGCCAATAATCTGTTTTTAGATAAAGATTTCTAGACACTTTAGCAAGATTGTTAGAATCATAGAAAGTTAGGGTTGAAAGGGGCCTCAGGAGATCATCTAGCCCTACTGCTAACACACCTACCAATGCAGCCCAGTATGCTGTTAGCTTTCTTGGTAAGAAGGGCACAAGGCTGGCTCATATTACACTGTCCACTGTAAGCCCCAGGTCCTTTTCTGCAGAGCTGCTGCCCAGCTAGTTAACCCCCAGCCTGTATTGGTGCATGGGATACTTCTGTCCTAAGTGCAGCACTCTGCACTTGTCCTTGTTGAACCTCATGAGATTCCTTTTGGTCCAACTCTCCAGTTGCAGATTGTCAAGGTTGATCTGAATCCTAGAGCCCTACCCTCCAGCATATCTACTACTCCCCCCAGCTTGGTGTCATCTGCAAACTTGATGAGGGTGCACTCTATGCAATCTTCCAGGTCAGTGATGAAGATATTGAACAAAACCAGCCCCAGGACTGACCCCCAAGACACTCTACTTGACACCGGCTGTCTGGTAGACATTGAGCCACTGATTACTACTCTAAACCCAACACTCCAGCCAGTCTTCTATCCACCTTACAGTCCATTCATCTAACCCATACTTTTTTAGCTTGCTTGCAAGAACGTTGTGGGAGACCGTATCAAAAGTCTTGCTAAAGTCAAGGTATCACATCAATTGCTCTTCCCACATCCACAGAGCTGGTCATCTCAACATAGAAAGCAATCACCTTGGTCAGACATAACTTGCCCTTGGTGAATCCATGCTGACTTCTTAATCACTTTCTCCTCCAAGGGCTCAGAAATGGATTCTTTGAGGACCTGCTTCATGATTTTTCCAGAGACTGAGGTGAGGTTAACTGGTCTGTAGTTCCCTGGATACTCCTTTTTCCCTTTCTTAAAATGGACACTATGTTTGCCCTTCTCCAATCATCCAGGACCTCTCCTGATCACCATCAGTCTTCAAAGATGATGGTGATCGACTCTGCAAATCGCATCAGCCAACTCCTTCAGCACCCTCTGGGTGCATCCCATCCAGCCCCATGAACTTGTACATGTCCAGCTTTTCTAAGTAGTCCCCAAGCAGTTCTTTCACCACTGTGGGCTGCTCACCTCCCCCCGCAAAATGTGCAGCCTTGTGCATTAGTCTGGGAGCTGATCTTGCCTGTGAAGACTGAGGCATATAAGGCGTTGAGCATTTTAGCCTTTTCAGCATCCTCCGTCACAAGGTTGCCTCCCCCATTCAGTAAGGGACCCAACACTCCCTGATCCTCTTCTTGCTAATCGACATACTTGTATAAACCCTTGTTACCCTTCACATCCCTTTGCAATTTATTTCTCACTCAGCAAAATACAATTCTCAAAAGCACCTAATATTAGATTAAATTCAAAAGTAAGGGATGCTTCAGCAAGTCTAGATTAAAATAAAAACTTCTTATCTAGATACAGATTTGGGGTACAATATTCACAACACTAAAAAAAGTTAAACAAAACAGACAAAAAGTTCATGCACATTTAATATATCACAGTTTGGAAAAGCTCACTGTCTAACTACAAACATAGCTTTCTAATTTAAATACTGATATTTTTGCTGGAAGAAAAAAAACAACAACCCTCATAGATCTCAGATTTCTTTACACTGAAAGAAATATGAAAAATTATTTAGGATAAACATAATAAATTAGTGGCATAGTAACCTGATCCAAGATCAGGACAAGAAGGTTAAAAAAAAGAAAAGAGCTTTTAATTACTTAGCTACGAGCACAACTTATTTCCAACATATTACAAGGCATAGCTTGGTATGCAACAACTACTTGGCCTTTTGTATGGTTTCAGTCATTAACTTAACTATTAGGATATTTGAAATTCTTTATTAAAACCTCATATTTTGGCAACTTATTGTTCTTTTGAATTATAGTTTAAATGAATCTTCCCTCTTGAATACTTCAAATCACTTTGATGGAGAGGAGGTATAGATTGGACATCTGCAAAAACTACTTCACAGTTAGGGCGGCTAGGAGCTGGAACCAACTTCCAAGGGAAGTGGTGCTGGCCCCTACCCTGGGGGTCTTTAAGAAGAGGCTGGATGCCTACCTGGCTGGACTCATTTGAGTCCC